CATCCCAGCGTCAAAACATACCTAACCAGCATATATGCTGTTTTTTTCAACAGGGTATCTGGGTATGAGGGTATGAATAAATAAATAAATAAATAAAACTGAAAACACATACTCGAAATGCAATATGCAAAATTATAAGGCTATAGGGATGGTACAGATCCATTTATAAACTTAAAATAACATTTGAACAGTTAATTTTGTAATTGTGTATATTCACAGTTTGCGAAAATTAAAATACAGAAAATGTTTAGAAGATAGGCTATTAGAAATGAGGAAATATTTATTTTGTTTTTGTAATGTGCTTTTTTGTTATTTACTGATTTTCATAGTGTGATTTTTGGTTGTTTTGGTTTGGCTTGGTTGTGTTGTTTTGGTTGGTTTTTGGTTTGAATTTTATTAAAACCAGTTAGTCAGTTTGCCCCGCAAACATCATAATAATAATAATTTTAATAGTATATGGAACATGCAACAATAATAATAAAAAAAAAATACAAAAACGGATTGGCCTTTTTTTTAATTTAGATTTAATTATTGATATTTATTGATATTTTGGCCACTGAACTAGGAAATATAACATTTGTTTTCATTTAAAACCTGTCACCTTACGTTCAAATGCAACAATTTTGTTCATTAAAAGTTATTAATATTTACACTGTCACAACAGACATGACAACTGAAGACTTATTCTCCAACAGGTCATTGTAAACTCAGTAGCTCTTTAAAGGGGTCCTATTATGCTCTTTTACAAAGTCTTGATTTTCCTTCTCTAGTGCAGCTCAACCAGGTCTCGTCCCATTCGTCGATATTTGTGATATCACAAATCCCGGAAAATAAGCGTTGTAGTGCAAACGAGTTGTTCGTTGTAGTTTTTGAAAATTGATTTCTGTTTTATAAAATATCTCCTTTTGAAGTGGACTTTGAGCTTTTTAACTTTGCAGATCTTTTTTATGCTCAAACAGCAACATTACAGACTAAATAAAGTTGAAAAAGTGAAAAAGCATAATAGGACCCCTTTAAGTATCGGTGTTGTAAAGCTCTTTCCAAACAGAAGAGGGCAGCCTTGTCCACGGTTCAACAGTGATTCGCAAACCTGAACCAACATTGACTCACAAATATATGGGTGTTAAAATAACGGTCTCCTAACCAGGACACTCGCCAAAGATTACAATTATTCACTGTTATTATGGCAGGACCTGTAATTTAACCTCTGCGCCTTTTATTCGTATTACATGCGTATGACTTTTGGGGTGTTTGTCAGAATTGTCCATTTGGTGTCCTGGGGTGCGTTTCCCAAAAGCAACTATGGTCGCAAGTTCCGTCTTTACCAATAGATTTCAATGGAACTAACTACCATAGTTAGAGCTAACGATGCTTTTGGGAAACGCACCCCAGATTGGTTCTTTCATTTTTTTTTTTGTCATTTTTAATTATCAAAAATCTCATAAAGATTATTTTCAGCAGAAACAAGCAGTAGCCTACCTGGCCGTCAGTGTAATTGTTTATCAGGTACCTGAGTGAGATTAGAAAGAGCTCTTGGGGTTTGGACAGTTGGCCGAGGCTCTTGTAATTGAATCACAGCGCGAGAGCCTTGTCTCTGTGCCAATGTTTAGCAAAGGGTGGGTTAGAGGAGACGTACTCGTGCAACTCGACTCCTCTCAACCTTCAAGCAAAGGTCTGTTCACACACTGTTTTCCAATGCTGCCATTTATAGATTGGCCCATGCAGTTTGTTTGTGACTGAAACTGATGCCTGCTCTGCTGTGGGGTAAAATATGAAATGAACAAAATTACTTTTCACGAAATATCTTAATTAAAGATAATGAAAAAAGTACTTTTATTAAGTACTTATTCAAATTACTAGCTTACAACATTAGACTCACTGTAAGTTTGCTTTATCTATCAAGTGATTTATTTAATGTTTCATGTATTTGGTTTTCCTTTTTTTCCCCAACAGAATTGTAAACATGACGTAGTCTCCTCAGTAGTATCAAGCTTGAATAAATGTGAATGCTGCAGTGGACCCTTTTCCGCTTTTAAGTGGATTGGTGTGAGATGTAAGGGTAAGTATTTTGTTCTGAAAATTAAAAGATTCTCATCTAAATGATTTTGTACCATCAAAAACCAAATTATTGTGTAATCTTGATATCCTAAATATATCATATTTTGGCTTAAAAAAAAGCTGACCTTTCTTTCTTTCTCCACCTATCTACCTGTGTAATTGTATCTGTTCATATTTCTCAATCTCTCCCTGAAGTTCTGTTGGATGCTCTCCTACTTAATCCCCCTTCATTCTTAGTTTACTCATTTTTCTTTTCTCTATTCTCTTCCATCTTCTAGCCGCACTTTCGAACACACTAATTCTCTATCGCTCTGTTATCTATCACTTTTTAAAGCAACTTTTCTTGAATCAAATGGAACCAACCTTGTTTATTATATCCTCAATCTAGTTTGTTCCTGCTTCTGGCATAAAACTTGCTACAAGAAAAATGTGAAGCCCAAACCTGACCCAGTAAGTGTTATTTATCGAATAGTCAGAATTTTTTTTTCTTTTTTTTTTTTTGAGAGAGAGAGAGAGAGAGAGAGAGAGAGAGAGAGAGAGTAGCTAATAATTAATTTAAAAAAGTGTAAAACTTTAGTAATTTAATCAGTAAATTACTAGAAATTAATGTTAAACTTTTTTTCTGTTCTGCTACCATCACCCAATTCAACAAAATTATCTTAAAAATTAATTGGAATGGAAATGTATTTGCATGGAAAATTGGTCAGCAAGGCAATCAGAATGGAAATTTGTTTAGCTAGATGAAATATGTGCACCAGAAAAATGAATAAAAAATAAAGATTGGGGTTAACTGTGGCAGAGACGCCAGAAGTGCAAGTGCGAGAAACGCTATGGAAACTTTCCCAGCTCGGGTTATATTAAATATCCAAAGGGAAGGGGAAATTGTAAATTGAAGATCCAGACAGGAAGATGGAAAAGTATTTTTGCTTAAAGTGAATACTTATGCTTGTAAAGGTCTGCAGGTTTTTTTTTTTTTTAAGTTTTGTGAAATAGCATTTTATATTTCATTGAGGGACTGCCATGCCACTCATATTTTCCGTTATTGCATTGACTGGCATATTATGTTACATGAATGTACATGAAAAAGATCTGCAACTGTAAAAATCAAGGTGGTCCAAAACATTCCAGAAGACTTGCTCCATGACAATAGAAGAGATGGATGCATGTGCAGATGCAACGAGTTGAGCACCTCAATTACATACAGTGAGGTGCAAACATTTGTGAACACATTGAAAATAATCTCTCTCTCTATATATAATGTTTATTTATTTGTTCAAGTGCAAAATAAGGAAATAGATAAATAGAAAAAATAAATAGAGTAATAAACGGGTGTATTATTTATTTATTTATTTTAAATTGTTTCATTTGTTTAAGTGCAAAACAGGGAAATAAATACAAAAAATGAAAATAATTTTACTGCTGATAATATAATTTCAAATGTTGTTATTTATTTATTTATTTGTTTGTTTGTTTGTTTTCAAGTGCAAAAGAAGGAAATAAATACACATAAAAAACAAAATAAAATAATTGTACTGCTGATAATATAGTTAAAAATGAAACATGTTGTATTTATTTATTGTTATCCAGCTTAATTGTTTTATGTGTTTAAATTGCAAAATAGAGAAATAAATAAATGCAAAAAATCAAATAAAATAATTTTACTGCTGATAATCTCATATAAAATAGAAATTGTTGTATATTTATTTATTTATTTATATTTAATTTGATTTAAGTACAACAGATGGAAATAAATAAATAAATAAATAAATAAATATTATTCTGCTGGTAATGTCATTTAAAATGAAAAATGTGAAGGAGAAGCATTTTTTGCTGGTGGTCTCTGGATCCCACTGTACAAATATACCAATTACACATGATAAAAACAACATCAAAGTTTAATGTCATTCACTGAATTATTCACTATATATACTACCGTTTGTTTTTCACTCTTCATGCTCACAGTCCGTGGAAAGCAGAGCCAGCCACCAAGCTGTTATTTATAGCACTTCTCAACGGAGTCGTATAGTTGATGTGTAAATTGAGACTCTTCCTTTGGACATGGCCCCATAGCACGCTCAACTCTGACCCTGAGCCAAGGCCACTGTAAAGTTGAACTTGGTTAAGTCACACACACACACAGACACACACACACACACACACATAATTTACACACAGGCACACACATCCGCAGACAAGTGCAGAAGATTGAAATGGCAACCCTTAGCTGCCATTCTGGAACAGTTTTATATGTCCAAATCTGAACATGAATCGAAATGAAAGCAAATAAGTGAAAGGAAAACGGGGACAGCCAGTAGTCAGCTGATAGGTGAAGCCATCTAGTGGTTATGTGATTATCGGAGAAGAGTGAACAGCCAAGGTGAGGTTCCCATAGCCTTATCCAATGACCACAGCCCTGCCAGCAGAATCCTGAGGTGCAAAAGGGCTGACTTACAGAATCTGAGCCAGTCACAACTAATCTTCAAGGCATTCAGGCAATCGGACGCTTCAACACATCAGTGCTTCACTATCAGAAGCCCTTTCTCAGGAGTTTTCTGGGGAAGCTGTAGATAGATAGATAGATAGATAGATAGATAGATGGAAATAGTCAGGATAGATAGATAGATAGATAGATGATAGATAGACAGACAGACAGACAGACAGATAGAGAGACAGATGGATAGACACAGACAGACAGATAGACAGACAGATGGATAGATAGATATATAGACGACAAAATAACTCAAAAGCCAAAAATGTAAAAAGTCTTGTGGTCCTGAGTCTATCAGACAGAATGATAGATAGATAGATAGATAGATAGATAGATAGATAGATAGATAGATAGATAGATAGATAGATTGATTGTCATTTTGTCTGGATCTATTAAACTATTCAAAATTACATAAAAAATGCAATTCATACATTTACTTAAACACACATCTAATATGATGAACGTCAGTTTCAATTTCTGAATAAAAAATGATTTTGATTGTAGAGATTGTAAAAATATTGGTATACAGTAACTATTCAAGTAAGTTTAGCATAATATGCATGAATATTTCTTTAAAAAATATTCAGAAAAGCAGTTTTGTTTGTTTATATTTGAAAATTGTTTGTCCAGTCAAAGTAAAACCAATGCATTTGGCAAGACATAAAACCGAGAGGACTCCAAAAAACTTTTTTTTTTTAATTTTTTTTTATATATAATCTTTTTTTTTTAGTTATGTATTGATGTATTTTTAATGCATACAAGCATAAAGAAAATATTTCAGTAGTTATTAACTAGTAGTTATCACTTGGCATTTTAGTCTCATTAAATAAAAAAAGGGTCACGAATTGTATAAATGTTTTTGAATTTAACACGAAGAGTACATTTCTGTAAGCTTGTCACTTATTTTAAACTAAAATAGAAGGGGAGCTTTAGTGGGCTTATTTGGGAGAGACGGACGCAAACTCTGGTCATACAGACACTAACTGAGGACAAGACCTTTGCGGAGATAGTCGTGGAGAACGTGGGGGACACCGATATTGAGGTTCCGTTCGTGAGGAACATGTGCTGGCTTAACAAAACCGAGTTCTGCTACACTTGGGATTCGGTCGCAGAGGTGAAGATATCTTTGGAATCTGAGGAGGACTCAGATACCGAGTGTTACAGTGTAACCTGGACTCCAATTCACTGTCATGTGGACCTGAAGGTAAAAATGCCATTAGAACTTTTTTTAGAACACTTTTGAAAATATAGGCTATGTTCCAAATAGACCCATACGTGTCATTGAGGAACCACTTTTAAGTTCCACAAAAAGAACTTGTTTTAAAAAAGAAAAAGAAAAAATCATCGTATTTGTTTCTGAAGAACCTTGTAACATGTAGAACTTTTATTCAAAATATTCAAGAACCATAGCAAGAACCACCAAAATTGTATGGTGTGAACATTTCTGGCACAGAAACCAGATAATCGCAGCCAAAGGTTAACTTAAAGACTGTTAAACAAAACACTACATTTTTATAAAGTATTTATAATATACAAATCAATAAGTGACAATGCTGATGTGTTTGTTTTGTCAGTGACGATCCTAACAATAAGTACTTGCTGGAGTTGCCATGGTTACCGCTAAAACACGATTTTTGTTCGCTAGGGTTTATTTAATCGCTCGTTGAAAAGAATCGGCCTGACTAAAGTTTTTTTTTTTTTGGAGGTTTCTGAAATGTTTGAAATCTCAATTAAAATATAGCCCTACATAAAAATATATACTTTTAAGACCTTCATATTTTTGTTTTGGCTTCATTTGGGGGCCTTCAGGTCCTAATTAAGTGTAAACAAACAATTATTTAATGGTTTCTTGTTTCAGTGTTACAAGGATAAACATTTGCAACTGTAACGTTTTTATTTATTATTTAATTGGTGGTTTTTATTTGACTTTAAATAGTTTTATTATTAGTTTTTTAATGGGGTTATATTGTTATTCATAAACACTTCTTTACCAAAAAAGTTTTTAAAGCAGGGTTTACAGTTCCTCAGACTAAAATGGCCACAAAGATACATTTCACAGATATCCGATAAGACAAGGTCTTTCTTTGTTCAGCAAGCACCTAATGCAGTTCGGAAGTTTTCTAGTTGAATCCCTTCATTTCCCACATTTCCTACCTCAGTAATGCTCTGTCGTGTGTTATTTTAGATTTAAGCCTAAGAACACTTTGTTCAGTCCAATCCTTTGACTTATAGGTATTCTGCACCTGTTTTCATGTGTTATGAGAGCCAAAAGCTTCTTAGCTGGACGTCCAGATTTTGCTCACTAATGAAAACCTCATACAATCTATATGAAGAAACTCAAAAAAATAAATGTATAATTAGTACTTCAACTTGCAATAAATGATCTACCTATGGTATAGATGGACCATAACGATACATTTTAAGGATAGTCACCCTCTTTCTCTCTCAGGACTGTTTCTCCATGGTGAATATTTCGTGGTACGGAGGTGCCAGTGTCCATGCGCCCAACTGGCCGATAAACGATGCCAACATTTCCATGCAGCCCTTCACAGTCAGTGACCTTAGGGACAACCCTTCTGGCTTCGGGTCAGTTTTAGAACGCTACTTCCTGGGATCCTCAGGTAAGCAAAGAGGAGCTCCGCGCCTCTAACTGTCACCCCCTTAGCCAAATTTGGCCACCCTGCCCTTTCACACTTTGTTGACCAGTCCAAACATGCATTCACTTGTGACTATGTACATATTTCAAAACTGCCTCGGGCCTGAGATCACAGGGCTCTACTGTACATAGAGAGTGTAACACAATACGGATGGTTACTTCTGCTTGGTGAAAGATTGCAAAACAAAGAACATCGGACTTGAGTCTGAACCCATTGGTATTTGTCAGCAGATGCCTGATGTTTATATCGAGAGTTAATTAGGCATCTCAGGCAGATTTAAATAAGCATTGTGTTGATGTCTGGCTGTTAGTTTGATTCGAGGCAGGGTGGGACATGGTTACGGACAGAGGCGTAGTGCATTAAAACATAAGCCACTTGCAGTATTTAATGTGAAATAAGTCTACATCACGAAAAAGTGTGCAATCAAATTTTCATTTATTATTTATTTCTTTTCTTTTTTTGTACTGTGTGAGAAGTATTCATGTTATAGGTTTTTATTGATTTTATTGAATTTTATTGAATCAGTTTAACATTTAACTTGTATTGTTACAGAACTGTAACATAATACAAGGGTTAAATCTGCAGTGCCATAGCAAAGTTTATTTTATTGTATAGTGTAAATTATAGTGTCCTCCAATTCATGATGAAATGACCCTTGTGAAGAAGTGTTCATAAAAAAAGTTACCCGTTCGAATCAAATCCTGTTTAACAATCTCGCAGCATATTTTGAGTATTTAAGTGAAGTATTTATGTATTTAATGAAACTTTAATCAATGGTTATTAACATATGATTCAACCACACGGCAGAAACCAGAACTGCCGTTGACCTCCAGTATAGCGATGTGTCAATCCCTTTAGCTGGAAAAAGCGATATAATTCAAGCTTCCCAGATGCATTGACATGTGACGGAAGTTTGAAACCATCAAGACTCTTCCTAGAATTGACCATATGGCTAAACGTGGTATTCTAAGAATCTGTAAGGTCAGGGAGGTGACGAAGAGCTCCTCAGAAAGACCTTCAGATTACCAGTGTAAAGATGCGAGGTCCTGTCACTATCCATCACTACAGCACTTCATCAATCACTTTCAAATGAGTTCACAAACTGTGGTCCGTGGAGTGCTTTGGTCCATGAGTTGAACAAAACACAAAATCTAATAATTCCAATTGACAAAGAATAACAACAGTGAATTGATTAACTAACCAACTTTGAACAATGAATTAAAAGAGTCACTCATTTATGTTCATTAGTTAAAAGTAACAGCATCTAGTTAATTTCAGTGAAACAAGACAGAAGCAGCAGTCTAGTCATATTATGGATCTGTAGCTCAAGACAGGGTAGAAATGGATGTCAAATGAGACCCCCAAATGGGATTTGGAGTGTTTGTAGAATTAATGTAGAAACAACATAAAGACAGTATATTTTTAATATTTGTTTAATGGCATCCACTAATCCAACAATACTACTGATGTCTCTATGATTCCCCCCCCCAATATTTAATCACTGGCTATAGGCATTCAACATTACAGTATAATTGAGAGCTATAAAGTTTAACATTTATTAGACTTTAAAAATAAATAACTTAATTGTTGAACATAAAACAATCCTCACATAAACCCATTGTAATAAATGTCATATTTACCTGTGCCCTTCAGCAAGTAGGAAATATACAGAAATTGAATAAACACTAAATTCTAAATTAAATATAGATGAATCCTTAAAGCTACAAAAGTTATTGACTTCCTCTTTTTTCTTTTGCTCTTTGATGATCAGACATCACATCAGCTGGGTTATTAGGTTATTTTGGCTGCTTTAAGAGCTGCCGCTGCTGAACATGATGCAGATCTGACACGCATCATATTTTCTCATAACTCTTTACCTTTTCTGGCCCACTTCTGGTCTTAAAGTCTCTACTAATGAGCTGACGAGTTGAATCAGGTGTGTTAGATGAGGGAGACAGTGCTGGTGCTCCAGGACAGTTTTGAAAACCACTGCATTTCACAGACAAAACCGAATTTCAGTGGATTCCAATAGTAATTTGTGACAGTTCCACCCTGGAGCATACAGCTGCTGTTGTTGTGCGTCAGAAAAAGACAAAAAAAATATTTAAAAAAATACCCTTTTTGTCTAAATTGTAACATTCAAGATTGATTCATGTTTGAATTAAAAATGAATGTGTTACTTTCCATTAAAAGTAGTGGCATACCTACAGTAATAGGTTAATTTTTACAGTGAGTAGCACAACATTGTAACACATTACTCATAGTGGTCAAGTTTTCCAACACTGGTGGCAATAAGCTGCCACTAGTACTCACACTCATAGTGCAAACGTAGCACTTTTTGAGCCCCAAAAGTGTTTGACATTTTATATGTTCAGTAAATGGTTAATATATGTAAAACAACACTGTAACACATTAGTAGTTAAGTTTTTTAACACATTTGGCAATAAGCTGTCACTAGTATTCACACTCAAAGAGCAAACGTAGCATTTTTTTAGGCTACAAAACTGGCAGCTTACCGGCTTTGACATTTTATATGTTCAGTAAATGGTTAAAGGGGTCCTATTATGCTTTTTCAATGTGTTTTTCGAACAACATAGTATGACAGCCTGTTCTAGTACACCCCCAAAACAAAATCAAGACTTTGTAAAAGAGCATAATAGGACCCCTTTAATATATGTAACACAACACTGTAACACATTAGTAGTTAAGTTTTTTAACACATTTGGCAATAAGCTGGCACCAGTACTCACACTCAAAGTGCAAACGTAGCATTTGTTTGGGCTACAAAAGTGGCAGCTTACCCGCTTTGACATTTTATATGTTCAGTAAATGGTTAATATGTTCACTGAAGGGGCTTTGCGATGACCCCTCGTGCTTCGGACCAGCAGGCGTGCCTGTGAGGCTTGTGTGGGTGGGCAGCTGGTCTCTAAACATGGTTACCACTCAGAGCCAAGACACTCTCACACTTTCACAGCACCTTGTCATCCACGCACAATCCAGCAATTAATAACACTATTTACTCAACACGGTCACACTGATTTTTTCGTATAGCCGCATTATTTGCGCCCAAGTTTGTGTGTGAGCTTTCGGCAGCTGAAAGGTGAAAATGGTAATCTGCGTCCCAGACAGCTGAACAGAATTAGATTAAAGTGAAAGGGCATGCCATCAGCTAAGGTCATAATATTCGTCATGTGACATAAACAAAGGCCTTTTATGATTTCCTAGATCATTGTTTGGCCCACTGAGCGTTATGCAACGGTGTGAGCAGTTTAACCGAAACAATCACATGATTTTGATCCATTTTCCACCTCGCTAGAGAACGGCCTTGATTTTGTAGAGACCTCTCAAACCCCTCTCTAATTGGCTCACTTTTAAGACAGAAATGTTGAGCTTCCTGCCAATGCAGCTGGCCCGGGTTGCCAAGTAACCGCAGACATATCTTGGTGTATAATGCCCAGTGGCATAACAATGACAATCATGTTGGCTCAGATTCGTAAGGCAACCCAGCAGCTGCCTGTGGCCACGGCTCTCGCATGCTATTGGTCGGCGATGTGTTGATAATGGACATAATTGTTTTTCCTGAGTTGCTGTTCTGCAGCCAAATGGCATGTTGTTGTGCAGGCCTGTAAAATGAGCCCTCGGCGACCCGGGGCAAACCCAAAGGTAAGCTTTTCAGCACTGTATATTTACATTTAGGCCTTGAAATCGGATAGTGGTTTTAAACAGGTTGGTGATGTGGAGCTTCGGTCATGCGATGTCTGTCAAATAGCTTTGTCCACTTTGTTGATGAGAGACATTATTGAAGTGTCCGGGCAAGTAGTGTCCTTTACTGGGTTCACTGACACTTGTGTCCAGTTCAACATGATGACTGAAAGAAACTTAAAGAGAAGGAGACATATTTAGATTTTGACGGTTTCCAAGTAGTGATCGTCCTCCTTTGTCTATGTGTGATAACTTGACCCATGTTAGCTATATGCACCAAAAATAAAAATAAATAAATGTATTTAATAATAATCAGTTAATTAATTAAATGTATTTAATTATCAAAACTCTAAAAAAATTAGTTGTAAATAGACACTGACACGGTCAAAACACGAAATTTCACTCTTTCAGTCAATTATTGTGGCTTTCCAAAACTGTTGCGGACAAAATCAAAATTAATTAATTAAAATTAATAACACACATACATGCACCAAAATATGATGAAAAAATATGATCGTGTTCACAATTTTCCCTGTTTACACTTAAAAATGTCAGTGAAATGTTTTTTGTTTGTTTGTTTCCTTGTCTGCTGCGTTTCAGTAGTAAAGGGTCTGGAAATGTGTGTTCTTGTGGTGTCGCGTTGTCTTGATGTAATTCTTTTGGGCTCAAAAATGATTAGTTGAATGGAATTTAATTTATGCTTCTGGTAATTTTATTTTTTTTTTTGACTATTCACCTAAACAGAGTTTCCCAAATCAGAAGGACAGCTAAAAGGTTTCATAACTAACCCTAATCTTACTTCCCACGTGCCCAAATGCCAAAATATTAAAATCACTGATGTCAAAATAGTGACAAACTTTTTTTTTAAGTCTATGCAACCAAATTTGACCAAAAATTCCAAAATTAATAGTGATAGATTAACAGTTCTAGTAGGTCTGTTTTGTAATAATAAATGTTTAATGCAATCCCACATATCAAAGGATTATGAATAGTACACAGTGAATCAAAATGTTTTCATTTTGTATGGTGGTGCATTGCTGCCATATATATGGTCCTACGCCTTCCACAGACGATATAAATACATTTAGACCACATAACTTATTGATTGCTATCAGGATGTGAAGAGACTTTCAACCAGCTTAACAAAGAGAGTTTTCGAACCAAATAACCTACCCTGCCTTTAAGTCATAATAACGAGATGTTATGTCATTTACACTATATATTTTCTCTTAAAGGGGTCATATGGCGTTGCTAAAAAGATC